TTTAAAAAGGCACCCGAAATAATTTGGAAATATCTTCTGGGGACCATAAATAGCCCATCCACACATGCATTAAGTGAAATTACTAACTTGTCAGAGTGTACTACATCACAGAATATACACACAGATTACTGACAGATTGCTGCAGACATTCTTTTTTGATAAAAGTGTAGAAGCTTCTGGTACTCATTAGTGGACTCTGCCTGCTTCTTGGAATGACACACGCTCATTCATTACAGGGGGAATAAGAAGTGGAGGGTGAGGGGGGGGGTCATGGGTCTTCCGCAGGGCTTTTGTGGCTGTGCCAACTTTTGGGAAACAGACAACAGGTGAGTCAAGGCTCCTTATATACTTCCAATGAAATCCAAATTTGGCTCGTTCACAAAGGTTGTGGAGTTGCTGCTGACCGTAAAGCTGTGAGAAAATGTCAGCACATACTGCAGGTCTGCTCAATTAAGAATGGAGGAGTTCCCAGGTCCTGGCAGGAAGTGATGGGAGGAAGTGATAGAACTGGAAATATGAGCATAGCAAAGTGAGGAAGTAATTCAGGGAATACTGCTACATGTACATGTTTGTGTTCTTTATAGATTCACAGATTTACAACTGCTAATTGTTAACTTGTTCTTTTCATGTAAGTAATGATTCATTCAGGAGTCTCACATATCCAGACCTGCTTCTACAGCTTTGTCAGTACTGAAGAATAGTCAAACCAAAAAGATTATTACTCTGCTATAGAAATAATGCACTGGCTTGTTTTTATTTCTTATAACAATCACAATCATCTTGAATGGTGCTAAAGCCAAGACGTAGAGACATCACACAAAGTAAAGACCTAAAAAAAACACAGTAAAGATGTGGGATAACTATGTAATTAAATCTTCATCAAAACCATTTTCAGTGCTTAGACTGCAGCACAGAGGTTGTTGTTCCTCGTAGGGATGGGGACAGGCAGGAAGTTGAAGGGGAGAAGAATGCAGCCAATGGCAGGTTTAAACAGTTAACCCCTAACCCTACTGTCTACATGCAGTGAGTCAGACATCATTTGTGGTAGTTTGATTAAGTGCAGATGTGTTTGTCTGGCCATGGTTCTACATTACTAACCACTTAAGAGGCACCGTCTTTTAGAAGGACCCTGTTTAGATCATCACTGTTTGTACTGTACACATGTGGTGTATTCATCAATATCAAACTGTTTTCCTTCAGGTAAGGTTTTACAAACTGTGCTGAACTGAGGCAGGTTGTGCTGGGAAGTTGTTGGTTGGACCGTTCACCATCACGTTGAAGCTGTAGCAGTGGCTGTGACTGTCACAGTACTAAAATTACTTCTTCTGTGTTATGTCCATCAGATCTTACCTTACAGAAATGATACACTTGATTTTTGGTCAAGTGTGAATCATATGTCCTGAGGACATCATTATCTTTATGTTTTTTCATTTTTCTTCAGTATTTCAGTGATCCATTGATACTTTTATGTACATCCATGGGTACACTGCAAACAGTGGTGCCCAATGTAAACAAATACATATCCAAGTATACATGTATGTATGTATATATTCATTAATGTATGTGTTTTGGCATTTGGCCTATTTTCAACTAAAAGCCATGCATTTAGAGGTGAAGGCTCTCAAACAATCATACATTCATTTTATCCTATTAGCCACACTCTTCCTCTCTTCAGGCTTGTGCCTAAAAACAGCAAAACACTGTTGCTGCCTTGACACCTGCCACAGCTCTGTGCAGCCATTTTGATACAATTACATTAAAAGAGGTGAGGTGTCTGGTGGCAGAGACTGCTTTCCTCCGCCTTTAATCAATGAAAACGTTTTTTGTGGGCCTCTGGAGAGCAAGCAGAGACAAAGATAAATATTGGCAGAAAAGAAAAATGTGTCGTCCTCCCCAATCAAGGGGGACATAATGATATTCAGAAAGAGACCCCCTGCTGAGACGTGAGGCAAACTGTTCCTTAGCAACGAAACACATTTTCCCTTTCAGAATGAAACTGGTGGCAGGGTGTTTGTAGGTTGGGGGGTGACGCAGGTTTAAGTCTATGTGTCAGTGTGTATGTTTATGTGTATGAGTGTTTATGGTGCATGTGAGACCAGCATCAGTGAAACTACAAAACAAATTTTATGGGACATCTAATTATTCACCTGGTTAAGCAGGTGGCCCATGAATGGAGGCCTGATTACTTTGCAGCATTTGGTTCCTACCTGTTTGCTGCATGTCTACCACATTCTCTCTCCCCCTTTTATATTGAAACTATATTACTCAAGGCTTAATGCCCAAAATTATCTTTATACAACACTCCTGATGGTTCAGAATAAAGCAGGACACAGATACACACCAGACATGCAGCTGATCAGAGTTCATAGGCACTTACTGAGGTCTCACTCAGAGTCACATCCTCTCTTATTTTGTCAGACTTGACTCTATAGAGCTGTTTCCAGTGCTACATTGGGATGAACAGGACACTCTGAGCTCTTGTGCAGGAAAAGGAAACGCTTGTCTGATTACTTGTGCTGATGTGACACTGTGCTGGAGTCATCTCATAACAGTTTTTACACTTTTTGTTAAACACTTTACAACACAGGATCGAAGTCCTCAGCTACAAAGCAGGTTCTTCTTTATATTTCTATGATATATATATATGTCCTGTGTTGCCACCATGACTGAAGAGACAAAGAACATATAGAACATATAGAAACTTAAACCCTTAACATGTGTGGAAATCTTCATGAGTTTAATTTGCCTTTTGTCTGAGGTACATGTTGTACATCCAGAGTTGTAAATTTAATTACAAACAATAAAAAACAGTTTAGTATCAACTAAGGAATGAGAGCACAGACTTTCATCAGTGAGAGACTCAATCCTGATGCTAATAGATGATCTAAGACTGTCACCTAGTGGTACAATACTGTTATTAATCACATCTCCCACAAGTCATGCCTGTTCCAGCTTGTGTTTGTATGACACCTGCACCCATGCACCTGGTCAAACAGGCCTATTCATTATGATGAGTATATTTACAGCCATTTATTCTTTAGAATAGAGGTCGGGAAATTCTAAAAGGTCACATGATAACTGTGGGGCTGTGATATGATAAACAGTTCTGATCATTTATACAGAAAAATCTGTTAATCTTTTGTAATTTATCTCTGTCCTTTTTGTAAAATACTGGATCATTGTAATTTCATCTATGTGAATGAAACTGTTATTTAAATGAAACCACGTTGGGAGTTGAGAGGGAGATGTCTCTTTAACTTCTAACTGATAACTTCTGCAAATAAAGGCCACAGGGCCACAAGTAGACACAGCTTTTCTGTACAGCATTTTTGTATCGTACAATATGTTATTTAATGTAAAACGTGTCTCAGGTTAATGTAGTGGGGTGAAAGTAACTCAAAAATGTACTTACTACTGGAGTAAATATACTTCGACCACCAACAAATTACCATGAAAGTTATACTGTAAAACAAGATGTCCATTACAAATTTAGGGTGTGGTTAGTCTTCCCCCTGCTGAACAGACAGAGTTGCACAAAACCACAAACAATAAAATAAACAATTCCATGAAATCCTTCGTAATTGTCTTAATTAATTATGCATCAGAGGGCAACTACGTGTCCCAGGAGGTAGAAAGGGTCATCCACTAATCAGGAGGTCAGTGGTTCATTCCCCAGCACCTACAGTCTGCATTATGAAGTGTCCTTTCTCATGATGCTATGATTAGTTGAAGGGGACTTGCATTGTAATGCACTTTTAGAGGTCAAAAAGACATTTAAATCTGGGTGACTCATCACTGATTTACAGTGCATTCTTCCAATACTTACTTGCCACAGTGTTGTTGTACATCACCACTCATTAATGTTCTAAGGGACCATGGTTGCCAGTGACTATAGTGCATGATGACCTCAGTCAACACCACAGCTGTAGTGTATTAATTATTGTGACTCGAGCTACCTGACAAGCCCTTTGCCACACAGAAAGTAAAATAAGTATTCTAAACCAGACATAAGACTGTTACATTTAAAAAAAACATACTAGATATTGTTTAGTCCATGGTTTTGATTGGTTGCAAAGCTCCAAGACGGTGGGTTCTATGTTAAATGAGCCAAATGAGCCTGACAGACTGATGCCAGTAATAAGAGTAGAGCATACTGATAATGCTCAATAATTCATCCATGAGTCATTTGTAATACCAGTCAAGAGCAGGAAAGCTATAATAATACAAAAACTCATATTTACAGTAAATTCAAAGAATAGAAATGCACTAGAGTGAACTAATGTCAAATGTAGCCTGCTTCTTAGTAGGGGAATATTGCATTTTGTACTTTTGGATGTATTCTTGTCAATTATTTTCTTGTAGTCAAATGTCACTTTGACATTTTCAGAATGTTCATTGAGAAAGAGATGAAATAAGATCAAGAGTATGAGAACATTGTATCATCATGTTTCCTGGAACCTTCAGGAGACATTGTGCTGTGTCTGTACCTGGGACTCACAGATGGTGCAGTAAAATTGCAGCAGCTTGTGTCACAATGTTTCCCAAACAAACTCCACTAATTTCCCTGTGTGGTGATTAAGTACGTACAATGAAATAATTTGGTGTTCTGTTGCAACCAATTATGAACACTTCGGAGTTGCGAGTAGCAACATGAGAGAGACACACAAATTAGATGCCATTTGTAACATTTATCCTTCCTGGATATCGGAAGCCAAATCAAAGCAATTATGACCCGAACGTGTCTACTTTGAGTGGGTTGTGAGTTTACCAAGTTCATTACACAAATTAACTTCCTAATGAGCTTTTGGATTCATGTTCATTTTTATTCATTTTTTATACAGAGCTTTTAAATAATGGCTGGTCTGCAAATACAGCGATGTTAGGGGATTAAGCCACTTACAAATCAGACCTAATCAAAATCCCAGCATGGACCAAGGGACACTTGGCATGTGATGGTTGAAATAATGTGACAAGTTGAAAAGACTCCAGGATGCATGTAACTGGTACTAGTTTTTATTATCCTTAAGAACTCAGGGAGATTGGGAAGGGAAAAAGGATTTTATTTAAATTATTGGTCTGTATTTGTATCGTGTGTGTGTGTGTGAAACCACAAGTAATGACCTCCACTTTTAATAGTCTGACGGGCTGTTTTTAAACAGGAACTCTGCCTGGAACAAAACAAACCAAAAGACATGATTAAATCAGAATCTAATGAAGTTCAGTGCTTATATTTAGGTAATAACGATGGAGAGTATCGTACCAGGAAGTCCACGGGGTCCGGTGGTTGTGCTGTGCAGCATTCGATCAGACCCTGGGTCAGAGTGGGCATGACATGCTCCAGCAGGTAATTCCTTATAGGGACTGACTGGGCCTGCAGCAGCTCCTCCTCCTGCTGCCTCACCTCCTCCAAACCCTTCGTTTGACACATACGTGACACATCCATATACCATATCCAACAGTCTGACAAATTAACTACTTACTAATAATTATCCTTATGTTCGTTTGTTTGTGTTTTTAAACAGGGTGTCCAGTTCATAGTTATGTCCTCTGACATCTGACAACCCTGTGCTCACTAGTTTCTGAAACAAAAGCTCAGACAGCCCAAGAAGCTGGCTACTGCTGGTACGCAGCTTAAACAAACGTGAGCATGCAGCAAATGAGTTTGATATTGAATGTGCTAACCACTTGACAAAGCCTACATAGCCTGTCTAAATCCAAACTCCAGCCCTCCTCTCAGCACTTACCCACTCCTCCCAGCATGTAGCTCTCTGTCTGGCCTCCTCCACCTCCCTCTGCTCCTCTTGTGCCCTCTCCTGAGATTCTCTAATCATCTTCTCCTCAGCCCTTTTCCTCTGCTCCTCCTCCACCTCCTGGCTGTTGGGGCCGTAGTTCCTGGGCTTGCCCACGGTGTCACAGATCCTCTGCATCAGCAGCAGGTGATCAGGTTCATCACTGCTGGTGACCTCTGGACAAGGAAACACAGTAGGGTTTAGCAATATGATGAAGACAGGAACTGTTGGCTGAATCCATGGCAGGTAAAAAGTCAAAGCAAATCAAGTTATAAAGTGTTTAGAGTAAAATAATAAAAATGCTTACGTAATTAGATTAAAATTTGAATTTATTAGCACAACACAGTGTGTTTTATACAACACTGCTACATGGAAAAACAGCTATTATTTGAAATCTAAAAAGTTTAAAACTGGGGGTGGGATTATGAGTGTACTCTCTAAAATTAAATCTTAATTTTATAGTAAAATTCCGATTCTGACCTGTAGGTGGTGCTAGAACGTGTTTTCTTTAGGAGCATCAGTGGGCCCAGGAAATGAGGTGGAACTTGTTATATAGACCAAGGTATTGGCTGTTTGTCTTGACAGTAGCATTGTATGGTAGACTGTCGTAGTTAGGAATCATGTCATGGTAATCAAGGAACCAGATGGAATCTTTCTCTGGACCAAAGTGCAGGACTGGCCACACAAAACTGTCAACATTCTGGTATGTAACTTTAACTGAAATGCAGACAGCAGTTAAAATTCATGAACCACCCTCACTTCCCATATACATCTGTTTCTATGAAAAAAGGTCAACGGTAAAGGCTATTCTGATTGCTTAGGCACTCTCTTTGAAACTACACACTATTTTCAGCAAAAAATCTCTTGCAAAAACAGACAATCATTGCAAAACATCAAAACAATTGAAAAAAAGCACACAAAGCACTGACTGCACACTGAAAAACATTTTTCTAAAGTACGTATCAGATTGCAGTAAAGTTTTGTCATACATGTAGTATTGTAAATACACACATACACACAGGTATCCAAATGTGTAAAGTTTACAGTGTGTGCATTTACAATACTACATACTTTACACTTTAAAATATGAATGCGGATTTTGAATATTACACACTATAAACACAAACAAGAGGGGACATTTTTTGGAAACAACAAAGAGTTGGTCAGAGTCTCCATAAGTCTCCTCCATTGTCTGTTCTGCTCCTCCTCTTACTCTGTCAGGTTTTGAATGGTTAGCTCATTATCTAAAACAGTCTCCACACAGTGTGAAAGGCAACTGCGTAAATGTTGTAGCAATGCAGGGACCAATGTTTACAGTTTTAATAGACATGTTGTGTCCATCGTGACCGACGGAGCTCCCACCATGATAAGAAAAGATAAAGGAGCAGTAACTTGAATGAGAGAGGACAATCCAGACCTCTACTCATAAAAAAGCATTATCCATCAGTCTGTTCTGTGCTCTACTCTCTCAGAAGAGGATGCAGAGGTTGTAAATGGTTGTAAATGGTGTGATGAAACTTGTTGACTTCCACCTCGTACGAGAATTCCTGACAGAAGTTGATGCAAATTCAAATGACCTACTGCTGCATTGCAATGCTAGATGGTTAAGCAAAGGCAAAGTTCTAGCACACATTTGGGCCATTAGAAATGAAATAAAAATGTTCCTGGAACAACAGAAGAATCATCAGGCCAGCTCAGTTTTTGGAGGATGAGAGAAAGAATTATGTTGTGGTCTTCTTGGTTGACATAACCTCAAACCTAAATGACCTCAACTTAAAACTGCAGGGAAAGAACAACACAGTGTGTGGGTTTTGGTAGCAGCTGTCCAGTCTTTCTAGCGGAAATACATTTTCCTGCAATGAAACAAATTCAGGGTGAGAGAGATATTTCTTCTCATATTAAGTTCCTACAAAAACTGATTGGAAAAGTCAGTTATCGTTTCGATGACTTCAGCCTGGGAGAACAGGTCCTTTTCATTCAGAATCCCTTTCTGGTCAAAACATTTCCAAACAATTTTCACAGGAGTCTAAACATACCAACAAGTGGCATCTCTACAGATGGAACTTGTTAATCTGCAAGCAAACGTAGTATTAAGAGAGCAGTGTGGAGTTTGTGACCCTGCCACCTTCTGGCTATAGACCGTATCTGAGAAAGTTTTCCCTGGACTGAAGTGGCAGAACATATCTTGATGTGTTAGGCTCCACGTACAGTTGAGAATAAGCATTCTCAACACTTAACATTATTAAGACCAAATACTGTTCAAGATTGACGAATGATCATTTACATGCCTGTCTGAGAATGGCACTGACCCCATTTCTCCCAAGGTTCAAAATACTAGCATAGAAAGCTAAAGCCAATATCTCCCACTGAATTAGAACACAGACAATAGGCTACATGTGAATGAACATATTAAAATAATTTCTTGTTACTTCTTCGAAGAAGTTTTTCAGTTCAACTTAAAAGAGCACTTTATATGTTTTCCTTTGTTATTTAACCTGCTGACTCAGCTTTTGAACTTTAGCAACCAAAGTATAATTTTTATTCAAAATTCACTGTGTTTTTAATTTGATAAAGCTATAATTCACAACTCGATTGGATTACCCAGGTACAGAGGGGCTACATCCAGCTCATCAAGGTAGTTGACAACAGTTTCACCCTCCAAGCTGTTTTCTCTGTATCTGGCAAGCTGTTGCAGGAACTGCTCCTGCTTGTAGCTGTGCTCCTGCACCAGCCTCTCGGGCAGGTTCATCACTCGATCCTTCAGGAAAGCATCTGACGCATCCAGACACAGCACAAACTCTGAGACACACATACAGAAACCATTATACAGCTGCTACACTTAAGTCACTCAGGCTTTTTGAATTAGGCAGAAATGGCCAATTCCTGTGTTTTGTTATTTTTGCCATTTGCCTTTGTAGCTGGATTTCGTCTAACTTTAACAGTTTCATAGTCCATGTAGAATAACAGTATTGTAATGACAGCACACTACAGAGACCTGGCAACATCTTCCTGTTATATGAAGACATCTGGGATGTTCCATCCTCTGATTCATGCTCATCAGCTAAAAAAAAAGAAACAAACTGAATTTTACACAAAATGCATGTGATTATAACACTTGTACAATAGAAGCTTGGTGTTGGTATCTTACCACTAAAGAGCTCTTTAGCTTGTTCATATGTTTTGGGAAGGCCGTCCAGAACAAAGCCCTGATTTCTGCATTGGTTAGACATCAGCTTATCCTTCAGCACCTTTACCAACAGCTCATCATCCAAAAGGCCTAACAGACAAAAACTATCAAAATCATCAGGAAGGGACATTAAAATGATTTAGTATTTCCACCAAGTCTTCTCAAGTGGTAAGACATCGATTAAAAAAAGAATGATCAAAAACCAAAACTCTAGAGTTCTGGATATCCAATCATTTAGTCTCATGAATAATACATGTATTGAGGCATTCATTCTTTGTTGAGGCACCTTAGCAATGTCTTACCCTTGATTATCATGTAACTGCCATCCTGAGTTGACAGTGCAGAGAAATATTTAATCAGCAGATTTGCTGTGATAAACATCTGTCACCCTATTGAGTCCATATAACCTTTCTGTGTGAGATGAAACCATCTGTCCATTATATTTGTTATTTAGGTTATAGAAGAGGTACCATTTTTTTTACATATTATATTTTCATTAAGCCTGATGTGCTCCACAAAAACACAGCACCAAGTCTTTCTGTAGTAGGCAAAATCCTGATTAATCGGGCATAAGCCCTATAAGTTTAACTTAACATACAGACATTGTTGCAATTGATAGTTTATAAATATATTTTTGTCCTTTTGTCTCTCTCTACTGATTTAATCAGCATACTGTGATCCACAGTATCGAATGCAGCAGAAAGGTCGAGCAGCACCAGTACTGTACAAAGGCCGGCATCTGAGTTCTTTCTAAAGTCATTAATAACTTTCAAAAGTGTAGTTTCACTACTGTGATGCATGTGAAAGCCAGATTGAAATATTTCAAAGTGACTGACACATTCATAAATGAAGTGAGCTGTGAATAAATGATTTTCTCCAAGACTTTACCAAGAAATAGTAATTTTGGTATAGGTCTGTAATTATTAAGTTTGTCTTTGTCATTTTAAGAGGGATTGAAAAGCAGCAGTTTTAAACAAAGTAGGAACTACACCAGAAGATAGAGACTTATTAAATACTGTTCAAATGTCAGTGGATAAAAAGGTACAAACTTCTTTTTAAAAACTTGGTAAAATATCGAAGGGGGAGGAGTATTCCATGCTATTAATCATCTTCAGGAGATCCGATTGGGATATTGAATTCAAGGAATGAAAAATCTAAAGCACTTTACTCTCTTGTTGCATAAACCTGTAAGGTACAATTTGGTGTCTGATGCTGGAAACTTTATCAATGAAATTCTGCACATCTCTCGATAAAAGAGACTTCATTGTATTCAGTGGGATTGGGGGTGTAGAATATGGGATTTAATGGTCCTAAATAATAACTTGTGACACTGTCATTTTGACATTTTCCATTTTCTGCTCAACATGCCCTTCTAATACTACTAATAAACTATACTACAAGTACATGGTCATTAACCCACGGTAATGGTTTTGTTGAGGCAGTACAGGAAAGGGACATTGACAGCCTGTCATCTGCCTGCTATAGCTCAACATTAAAAACTCATCATTCACAACCAACACTCTCTGTGTCTTTTTGGGTCCAGATCAAACTAAATATTTACTGCAGTAAGGCTGGACACGTACTTCCTGCCTGTCCCTCTCTGCCAAAAGAGAGGGCTCATCAGATATGAGCAAGAACCTGATGAGCCACACCTTTTCCACTACTTCACGCTCTCATTCAGGGATGCAATTTTAAGCCACCCTAGCCTTTGATGGTATCACCATTCCCCTCCTCCCGGACTCCAGAGCAGATATCAATTTCATTGATGCCTCACTTGTCCTCCAAGCCAACATTTCCCAAGAAGCCATCCCCTCTCCACCCAATGTAAATGCCCTAGATGGTTGGTTGTTGGCCCAAGTCACCCACCAGACTGCCCAGGTTGGTCTTATTCTGTCAGGAAATCACTGTAAGAAAATCAAATTACACGCTCACTTACCGCCCGGTTCCCGCAATACCAAGCCCAACACTCACACCCTGACCCAGGTAATGGCCCACCTTACAATTTCTTTGTGACCGAGTCAGCCAGGTCCCAAGTTCTCCAGTGGGGGCACTCTTCCAAGCTTGCATGTCACCCAGGGTTTCATCGCACACTCACCTTCGTCCGGCAGAGACTCTGGTGTCTCGAGACATCCATGCATTTGTGTCCACATGCTCTGTCTGTGCACATAGTAAGGCTTGTCATCAGTGTCAAGCCAGTCTCCTGTGCCCCCTACCTGTCCCCAGCAGACCTAGTCTCACATAGCTGTGGACTTTGTCTTTGTTTGCCACCCTCATAAGGTAACTCTACTATCTTGAGGTGTTGACTCTTTTTCTAAGGCAGTTAATTTTGGCCCTCTCCCTAAGTTGCCTTCAGCCACAGAGACTGAGGACCTCCTCACCCTCCATTTTCCAGTTGGGGCCACAGTTCTCCTCCCAAGTCTCTCCTCTGGTTTGCCCTGGGTCAAATATGTACACAACTCTCTTACCAGTTGTGCCAGAGGTGTGTCCCCATTTATGGCTTCTCTGGGTTACGAACCTCCCTTGTTTCCTGTCCAGGAAGAGGATGTGGCTGTGCCTTCAGGCCAGGCCAACCTCCTCTGGTGCCGGCAGGTCTGGAGAGAGGTTGGGCCACCCTTCCACTCTTCTACCCAGAACAACACCTTGTCACCCTGCTCCCATTTATCAACCCAGTCAGAAGGTGTGGCTCTCTTCCTGCGATCTACCTCTCCAAGTTGACTCCCAAAATTGACCCCCCGGTATGTTGGACCTTTTCAAATCATCAAAATCTTTAACCCCTCTGCCGTCAAATTAAGACTGCGCTGAGGATGGCTGCTGTGTCTCGAGCTCCTCACCAACTTCTCATTTCCAGTGTCATTTTGTTGTACTTTTTCTGTTTATTTTTAACTTTCTTTGCAACATGCAAACCGCCCAAGCGAGCCCTATCATTCAATATGATAGAGAACAACTTTTACTCATCAGGTCGCTGGCAAACAGCAAAAAACCACCACGACCAGCAAACAATGGAGAGAATCCGTGGTTACCTGTTGGCGCTTTACCTGCGGGGCGCAGGAGACAAAGACGACGAGGATCTCGGGCCGGGGTCCTTTATGACAACAACTTTATAACAACAACTGGTGTTCAGACTGTGTTCCCAGCTTAGAGCACATCATGATCAGATGCCGTCCTTTTTATCTGCCGAGGGAGTTTACATCTGTAGTTATAACAGCAGTGTATGTGCCACCGCACGCTGACAACAACACAGCACTGGAGGAGCTGTATGGAGTTATCAACAGGACAGAGACTTCAAGGCCGGAGGCTGTATTTATTGTGGCCGGGGATTTTAACAGCGCCAACATGAATAAAGTCCTGCCGAAATATTATCAGCACGTCAGCTGCCCCACGTGCGGTGGAAATACACTGGACCATGCTTACTCTCCTTTTCGCAATGGATACAAAGCCCTCCCCCGCCCCCCCTTTMGCAAGTCGGACCACGTATCTCTTRTCCTGCTCCCCGTTTACCGGCAGAGACTGAAAAGAGACCGACCTGTGACACGGACAGTCCAGTGCTGGACCGAGCAGTCAGACTCTGCTCTCCAACACTGCTTCAGGACCACGGAGTGGTGTGTGTTTGAGGAGGAGGACATAAACACACACACAGACGCGGTCATTTGCTACATCAGCAAATGCATCGATGACGTCGTGCCGCGGATTACTGCACGAACATTCCCAAATCAGAAGCCCTGGATAAATGGCGAGGTCCAAGCCAAACTTAAAGCTCAGGCTGTCGCACACAGCGCCAGTGATTTGGATGAATACAGAAACTCCAGGTATGCGCTCCGGAGAGCTATTAGCAGTGCTAAAAGACAATACAAGAACAAAGTGGAGTCTGACTACAAGGGCTCCAATGCTAGAAACATGTGGTCTGGACTAAAACTATAACAGACTATAAAAGAACAACAAGTGGTGCCGAGGAAGTGTGTGCATCTCTCCCAGATGAACTGAACACGTTTTATGCACGCTTTGAGAGACCCCCGGCTGTGGAGGTACAGAAGGCTCAGGATCCCTGCCCCTGCCCCCTGGTTTTAACCAGTGCAGATGTGTCCCTAAAAAAGATCAACACACATAGGGCTCCTCGGCCTGACGGCATCCCTGGTCGTGCTCTCAAGGTGTGTGCAGTTCAGCTGGCAGAGTTGTTCACAGACATCTTCAATAAGTCACTGCTCCAATCTATTGTCCCCACTCATTTCAAAGAGTCCACCATCATTCCTGTCCCTAAAAAGACAAAAACCATCTGCCTCAATGACTAGCGCCCAGTTGCACTCACCCCCATCATCATGAAGTGGAGGTTTGTCAAACAGTTCATCGCCTCCTCCCTCCCCAACTCACTGGACCCCCTGCAGTTTGCTTACAGGGAGAACAGGTCCACAGCCGATGCCATCGCCCTCACCCTCTCCCACCTCGACCAGAGGCACACGTATGTGAGGATGCTGTTCATTGACTACAGTTCACCATTCAACACTATTGTGCCCTCCAAGCTCGTCATCAAGCTCAGGAACCTTGGGCTCAACAGCGCCCTCTGTGATTGGATCCTGAACTTCCTGACAGGCAGACGCCAGGCACTGTGGATGGGGAACATCACATCCTCCAACCGGACCCTCAACACAGGAGCCCCCCAGGGTTGTGTGCTCAGCCCTCTCCTCTACTCCCTGTTCACGCATGACTGCGTGGCCACATACAGCTCCAACACCATCATCAAGTTTGCTGACGACACCACCGTCATCGGCCTGATCACKGACGGCGACGAGACGGCCTACAGAGAGGAGGTCAGAGCGCTGACATCTTGGTGCCAGGACAACAACCTCCATCTCAACGTCAGCAAAACCAAGGAGCTGATTATGGATGACAGGAAGAAACAGAGAGATGGACATGCCCCCATCACCATCGACGGGACTCCTGTAGAGAGAGTCAGCAGCTTCAGGTTCCTCGGGGTTCACATCATTGAGGACCTGACATGGACTCAAAGGTTCAAAGGTTCAAAGGTTTTTTATTGTCATCTGCACAACAGATACAGCTCCTATTTTCTGACACTATTGCATGTGAGTTACTTGAGGTGCCTGGGATTTAAGATTTTCATTGCCAACATGTACGCTGTATCTGTTGTGCAGATGACAATAAAACCTTTGAACCTTTCTTCCATAAAGATCCACCCCACTTTTCATGTGTCCCTGCTTAAACAAGTCACAGGCAGGCTTCTCAGCCTGTCACCTGCCTTCATTACCTCCCGCCTGGATTACTGGAGTCCTGTTCGGTCTTACTGACAACATCCTGAAATGACTCCGCTGCCAGGGTTCTCACCCTCACTAAGCCCTGGCAGCACATCACCCCAACCCTCATTTACTTCCACTGGCTCCCTATAAAGGCCTGCATTAACTACAAACTACTCCTTCTCACTTACAAATCCCTCCATGTCCTAGCCCCACTGTATTTATATTATATTTACATATATATTATATATTCCAAGATGGCTCACTGTGGTAATCATAACAGCTGTTTACATTCCACCCGATGCTAACGCTAGCGTAGCCCTCTCGCTGCTGCATGACATCATCACCAAGCAGCAGCAGGATCACCCAAAAAGTAGTGTTTGGGTTGCTGGGGACTTCAACAAAGCCTGCCTAAAGTCTGTCCTCCCTAGGTTTGTAGAATATGTGCATTGTCCCACCAGAGGTGAGAACACTTTAGATCAGGTTTATTCCAACTTGAAGCAAGCTTACAAGACTGTCCCCCTCCCCCACCTGGGCATGTCTGACCACCTCTCCCTGGTTCTCATTCCTGCCTACACCCCCCTCAGGAGGAAAACCAAGCCAGAAACAAAGACTGTCATAACCTGGCCTGAGGGAGCGCTTATCCAGCTGCAGGACTGCTTCCAGAGTGCAGAGTGGACTGTATTCCAACATCTGGAGCTTCAGGAGCACACTGAGACTGTCTTGTCATACATCAAGCATTGTACTGACACTGTCATCATTGACAAGCGCATCCGGGTCTATCCAAATCAGACACCTTGGATGACCTCAGAGGCCAGTAGCTGTCAAGGCGGGCCCTCGAGCCCTCTCACCTTCACCCTCCAGGTCCATCAGGTGAGGCACGAACTGAAGGCAGTTAATCCATGAAAAGCTGCCGGTCCGGACGGAGTACTGGGCAAAGTGCTCCGTGCTTGTGCAGACCAGCTGGCAGAAGTCCTGACAGGAATCTTCACTTATCCCTGTCACTGGCTGAGGTCCCATCCTGCCTGAAAGCAGCCATCATCATCCCGGTCCCCAAGAAAACATCTCTGATGGGCCTCAATGACTACAGACTGATAGCACTGATAACACTCATGAAGTGCTTCGAAAGGCTTGTTCTCTAGCACCTCAAAGACTTCCTCCCCCAGAACTTCGACCCACATCAGTTTGCCTACAGGGCAAACCAGTCCACAGAGGATGCCATCACCACAGCTCACCACCCAGCCCTGAACCACCTGGAGCTTTCAGGCACCTATCAGCTACCTTCAGCTCTGCATTCAACACCATCATTCCGGACATCCTGGTGGAGAAGCTGAACTACCTCGACCCCCCCCCCCCATCTGCTCCTGGAACAAGCACTTCCTGACCAACCAACCGTAGGTTGTGAAGGTGGGTCAGCTCTGCTCCTCCACTCTGACACTCAGCACTGGCTCCCCCCAGGGCTGGGTGCTAAGCCCCTTTCTGTATGCCCTCTACACTCATGACTGTACTCCCATCCACCCCTCCAACTCCATCATCAAGTTCGCTGACAACATCACTGTGGTGGGTCTGATCGCAGGGGGTGACAAGACAGCCTACAGAGAGGACATACAGCAGCTGGCGGTGTGGTGCTCGGCGAACAATCTGGAACTGAACACCAGTTAGACCAAAGAGTTGATCCATGACTTCAGGGGGCAGAGCGAGTCCATGAAAGTACCTGGGGACACACCGCTGAGGACCTCAACTGGTCAGCCAACACATCGGCACTGGTCAAAAAGGCCCAGCAGAGACTCCACTTCTTGCGGATGCTGCGGAGGAACCATCTGGAGGAGAAACTGCTGGTGTCTTTTTACCGGTCCACCATAGAGCCAGTGTTGATGTACTCTGCCACAGTGTGGTTGTTAACCGCCTGCTCGGCTGCAGACAGGAGGYCTCTGCAAAGGATTACCAGGGCTGCAGAGAGGATCATTGGTTCCCCTCTGCCCTCCCTGGAAGACATTGCCAGCTCCCTCTGCCTCAGCAGAGCACAGCGAATCTCCAGGGACACTTTCCACCCTGGCCATGGAGTGTTTAACCTGATGCCGCCTGGGAAGCAGCTCAGGTCATTAAAATGCAGAACCAATAGACTGAGCTTCTATCCATGGACGGAACTCAAAAAAATATTTGTTTCACAATCCAACTACAACTACCTCCTTTTGCACTACAATCCAACCACAACAACCTCCTTTTGCACCTCTTTTTGCACTATTTTGTATAGTTTTTAACATTTATACCTATATAAAGCATCCTTGGGTCCTGTGAAAGGTGCTATATAAATTCAAGCCATTATTATTATTATAAAATTATATTTTGAAATTTGGTTTGACATTGACACCTGATGACTCCACAGTCATCTATGACCAAAGTTGTTACCTGTCGTGAAGGTTATCTTATGGACAAGGAGCTGGTCAGCCTGAGACAGGCTCCATTCTCTGGAATGGGACCAGTGTCGGAACCTACTGGCTTTGCGGACTGAGGTGACTTGGGTCCATGTCAGGGCCAGGGGTCCTCCCCAAGAAATGATCTGACAGTCTGTGGCTCCGGCATTGTAGATGCAGAGGGACTAAGCCAGGGAAGCATGGTGCTGTTGTCGGTAATATGGGAGGCCATTGAGTCCAAGAGTTGCTTATCGTCCTGGATCTGTGATAGGTTGGAAATCTGACCTTTGAGTACAGCGATTTTTTGACTCAGCCGAAGTCATCCAGTGCAATCTGGAGGAGAGGTAAGTAGTGGCACTGATGTGTGTTGTAGCGGAAACCTTTTGTGATGATTGACATCACAATTGACACTTGGCTGGGTTGTGTAGTAGTGGCAAGGATCGGATAACTGGACCTGCTTTTCACGGTAAATGCCGGTTCGTTGCTCTACTGTTGAACTACAAAATCACATGGTCACAGGTTCAGCTCAGACACGAGACTGTAAAATCACTTTCAGATACAAGTGAAGAAGCTCTGTCTGCTTTAGTTAGCCTTCTGGTGTGGAATGGACTAACATAGCCTGTAAAATGTATGGTACAGCAGATGTAAGTGTAATTTAAAAAAAATTAAGCACTGCAAGAGTAAATACAAGACTAGAGATATAAAAATGGTGACAACATAGGCAGTAATGGTGACAACATGGGCAGTAATGGTGACAACATGGGCAGTAATGGTAAACCATTCAGCAATCAGGTTGCCACCAGAAAAAGTGAAATGATTATAATGGAACAGATGGTTTATACCTCCATTCTGCTCCATGTTATCCTTCAGGGTGTGGAGCAACTCCTGGGCTTCTGCTGCTGAATCCTCATTCTCTGCATCTACATCAGAATTCTTCACAGTATTTTCCTGAATATCGTAGGAAAAAATGCTGGACAGTTAGTAAAGGCATTTGTAATGATTTGTAAGGCATGTGTGTAAAGTCAGAGCTCACTAGTTCTGTGATGGTTTCAGAGATGGTCTCCTCCAGTGTAATGTGGTGGAGCTTGTAACGTTCACAGATCAGTTTTGACACTGTACTTTTCCCCACTGCAGGAGGGCCTAGTACACACAGGCGGATAGGCTGTAGAGAGCACAAAACATTTCAGGATTATACTTGTGATGGAATTTTTCTGGAAGCTGGTGAAAGGAGAACTCAGGCAGCAGCTGATGTCTTACACAGAAGATTTTTGTGGTGTCTGAAATGCTATGTGTTGTCTTCCCTATAAAATAAATTTATCTTTGGGTTTGAGGGCCACAGGTCCTGAGGAATTTGAAGAAAGCCTGAATATATGTTAGGGCATTAGGTCACAGTTTTAAGGGTTACCATAAATTTGAGCTAGTGCCTTCCCTCCCTGTTACCAGGCAGATGAGAAGAGCTGGATGAAAGCCAGATGTGTTTTCTTTATATTCACGAAAACAACCCTCCTATATAAACGAGGAGTTTAAGTTGCCCCCTTAGAAGAGATTCACATTGGCCCCGAATCTCTCTCCAAGCAAACTGCAGTGCTTGTATTGATGCTGAACTTTTTTGTAATAAACATTTTATACAATCAAGACGGTGTCATCGAAGATTCCTTCATCATCTTCACATCATCGCAACCCCAATATACGACATTTTAATGTAGACTTGATGCATCAGGGTCACCAGAAGGTGGAACAATATACAAACACCAAAGAGTAACATGAGCAATTGTCCCCCCAAGTCTCAAGATGTTTCACCCAGCATCCCCATATATCTCCTTCACACTTTGTCACCCATTCCAATAGCACATCCATGAATGGCTAGAATTGCTCACTCTCTATGTAATTTTCTATGTAGGTGTTCACATCCTATTGTATAGTTAAGTCTAAATATGCATTCCTAAATGACGTTGTGTCCTTACATTTTGCCACTGGTGAAATACACAAAAGAGTCAGAGTTTGGTGCCTCGACTATAACCTGACCTTGGGTATTGCTTGGAGAGAAGGGAGTATATGTGGAATTGGACATTTTTTATTCTCTTAATGGTATTGTACAGATGTAATGTACAGAATACTAGTGAAGCGGCACCTATTGCAACTATGTCCATCCTAGAAGAGGGATCCCTCACATGTTGCTCTGTTTGAGGGTTCTATGTTTTTTCGTGAAGGACAGAGAATGTCGCACCTTGTTAAGCCCTATGAAACAACTAATTTCTGAATATGGGCTAAACAAATACGATTTAATTGATTGATAATGATAACTAACCCATAACTCATCATATGATGCAGCAGCAATATTGTTATTCCTCTCTGGGACAAAACTATATTTAAGACCTCCGTTTATTTATGATTTATAGACAGTTCCTATTCTTTTCAAGCACTTGATCTTCCTTTGGATATTACAGGGTTCTACCTTTTGCTTTGGTACCTACCAGCAATTTTCTGGTCTGCCGATACTCCTCCACCACCAGCTCTATTTGATCCACCAAACCAGACTCACACAACCAGTTGATAGAGAGCAGTTCTTTGAGGTAGACACTCTCCATGCAAAGGTTCACCAGCATGGAATCAATTTCCGTTATCTATTAAAAGATACATATGAACAGACTAATGTCATTATGTTTCCACTTTATTATGCCACGTTACATTAAATATTGATTATAGTTACTACTCAAATCATAAAGATAGAATAAACATGCTTTTGAGGATGACCCTGTGTAAAGATCCATACATGGTTAGCCAAGCTTAGCACAAACAGCTAGTTTAGGTCTGATTGAAGATTAAAAAAATACCCTTCAACACCTCAACAGCTCTTGGATTAGTACAGTACATCCCTTTTGTGAAATTCTTACTCAAAGATAAGTGAGTGAATGACAGATAAAAGGAAACAATGATGAACCACAGAAGACAGCATGTCTGGACATCCAGCCTCTCTCTGCATTTCTGAGCTGATATTATCCATGGACATTACAAATGGAGAATGACAGAAGCACACAATATCTGTTTTGAGTAATGCTGCAGTTACAAAAACCTTCTTTTCATTAAGCTACAGCTTAATACAATGTGTTAGAAAAAAGCATTAAAGTGATAGTTCACCCAAAAATGAAAATTCACTCATTATACTGACTTTTATATTCTACTCACCACTATGCCAACGGAGGGGTGGGTTAAGTGTTTGAGTCCAGTAAAAACATTTGGAGTGTCAGGTGTAAAACAGCATTGCAGCCAAATCAAACACAATTGAAGTAAATGGTGACCACTTCTTCAAACATAAAATAAAACTAAAGAAAAAAAACAGAGAATGCCTTCCTACTGCTCTTGTGATGTCATCCAAGTGTTCATTAGACCCAACATTCAGATTTGACTTGAAACAAGTACATTTACATATTGTTTTTAGCCTAAATGTCCACTGTGATCCACGCGCTGACATGAGAGGATTACAGTATTTAAGATAAAAACATGGTGTAAATGACGCCGTTCAGAGTCAAATTTGAATGTTGGGGCTTAAGGACACTTGTATAACACCACAGGAGCAGTATGGAGGTATTTTGTTTTTCTTTCTGTTGTTTTTTTTTTTTTTTTGTGGTCAGAATTTACCTTAATTGCATTGGATTTGGCTGCAAAGCTGTTTACTCCTGAAACTCCTGAAAGTGGACTCAAACACCTCACCCACCCCTTCATGGGCATAGTAGTGAGTAGATAATGAGTGAAGTTTCATTTTTGGGTGAACTATTCCCCCTGCTTTCAGTCTATGTGCCAAACTAAGCTAACCACATCCTGGCTACAGCCCTGTGATCTGATAACAGTCTCATTATCTCCTTCTTGGAAAGAAGTGAACCTCTCTTACCTCTGTCAAATATTGAGTTAGTAAGAAGACATGTATTTCTAGTTTATTTGTAATACTGAGGCAAGACCACATAATTCAGTGTTAGCCCTGACATAAACAGCTACAGAGCATTACAGTAAAGCATGCTTCATTAATGCGACTATAACATACACTTAAGTCCTGTATGAGGAAGGCTTCTTCAATTGGCTTTTTCTTGATCTTCGCTGGTCCAAGTACAGAGGCAACTGTCTGGTGGAGACAGAGATGTCACTGGATGAATATAATCAGCTCTATTATACTTTCAGCTCATCCAATAAGTATTTCTATGCTGTCTGAGAATACTTCCTGATAAGTTGCTACACACACCTTCACAATCTCTTCCATGGTGTTGTTGGAATAGTCCACAGCCAGCAGGTAATATGGCTTGGGTTGATGTTCAATCACTTTCTTAATCACACTGAATGTACAAAAATAAATCACAGTTTTTAGTATAAAAATTCATAGCTCTAAAATTTAGCAATCGCTACAAATGCTGTACAATTTGCAGTGTATTTTGTCTGCCACCATCAAATAAATACTGAAATAAAATAAAGAATAAGTCAATGTAGATGCAAAATGAAAGCTATAACCTCTTATTATCAAATGTTCAAGAAAACTATAAACAAAAAACAATCATTGTTCATGTGTGAGCATGTGTGTCAAACCTTGCTAGGTCCTTGATGTGAATGGTGGGCAGGATATTGTTGCCATCTCCAAAGACAGGTATTTCATGTTTTTGTCCCAGCCACGATGTCTTATAATACAGATTTTTTTCAAATAGTTAGGAATGGGGATGTGGTACATTGAACACTTTGTCAAGAGCCAGATTTCTCCATAGCTACTGTCCAGGATTCCGAATGTCTTTCCTTGTCAATCTGGAGAGCTTCCAACATCTTTTTAACTGGTATAACATTTACATTTGAACAAATCTTCATTCCAGATGAATAATGTGATGGGAACAAGTAAAAGATAAATTGACTGCTTATTGCACAACTGATAGATCCCTTTAATGATCCAATCTTTTTCCTTTAGTGTTGGGTACTAAACGTTTATGGGTGCAAACAAAACTAGCTACCTACTACTGATCCAAGTTAAATCAAATGGTGCTAACTTTTGGTCACTGAGAGTACATCTGGACGAGAGAGTGACAAAAAGAGAGAGGCTATTATGGGTCCACAAACAAGTGTGTGGCAGAATGCTGCTGAAGAAAATCTAAACTGAGGAAGCACAGCAGCTGCAGGCAAACACTAGCGAATTAGCCTGCCTGCTGCGTAGAGAGCATCTTCAGGTAATTAAATAGCTTGCTGGTTTAAGTTGTTGTAGATAAGTGAGCTTTTTTTACTGTTATGGGTGATATAGTATTTTCACTGGCATCTGCCAACACATTTAAAATGAATGAATTCAATTCGAATTTGACCAAAATTGAAGTGTATAAAACTACAATGAAGTGCAGTTGTTTTTGGTTGATGAAAACTAATTGTCAATTGACTAAAATTTGA